TTGATGTGTGTGTGTGTGTGTGTGTGTGTTCGATTGCCCATTCCTCCCAGGCCGCCCGGCACGTCATCCCAGGCCACGGCAGATCGCCCCGATCACGGACGGAGTAGATACTGCGCGCTGCACCGGGGCTGTCTGTGTGTTCCCCACAAATGCTCCGCACGGGGTCTCTGGCGGAGGCGGAGCAAAAAAAAAAAAAAACCGTCGCCCACGGTGCGCGCTCACCACGGCGCGCTTTTCCCTCCCCGTTTTGTGAAAACATTTGTGCCCGCCTTCCCGGCCCTCCACGCCCCCACCGACCTTGTTAATTCCTTTCCGGCTGCAGGAAATTATTTGAGGGCGTGCAAGGGCCGCCCGGCGGGGCGGGGCGGGGTGTGGGCCGGCCAAAGTGGAAAACACTGGACCAGGATGCTGGAGGGGAAGCGGGAAGGTGAGGGAAAGGGATTTACGAGGTGACACATTGTTGCTCGAGGGGGGAGGGGGGGTGTTCCCCGCCGCAGTGTATGGCCCAAGTTTTTGCGCGCTCAAGGAAAAAATCTTATTAAGCAAATCTGGTGGAGGGGAGCGGCACCGCGGAATGTCCGAGCCGAGCCGCTTATCAGCAGCGTCGTGTGTTGCAGCCCCGCGGCCCCATCGTCATCCCGGACTGACTTAGCGATCGTCGTCCGGGGCGCCGCCGCGTAGCTTACCGCCTGCACACTGCCTCCAAAGTCTCTCGTTTTTTTGTGTGCCTTTAAAAAATCTTATTTTGCTGCTGACTGTTTGAAGTTGGCCGACCCCCCTGCGACCTGAAATTAGCACTCGGCGAGGTGCGGCGCGGCGCGCCACTCTTCTTACCATGCCGAGTGCTGGGTGCGAAAACACTCATCGCGTCAGGCGGGCATTCGCATGCGGGCCCCGGCTCGGCGCGGCCCGGCTCGGCCCCACACCGCACCGCCGCGTTGCCCAGACGTAATCCACCGATGTGGGCCCTCTCTCTCTCTCTCTCTCTCTCTCTCTCTCTCTCTCTCTCTCTCTCTCTCTCTCTCCTCTCTCATTTCGAGCTGCTGCGCTGTGGCGTAAATCCCCGGCTAAGAATCGCGCCAAGGAAACGCGACGCGCCAAAATAATCCCCAGTTCCCCGTAAAAAGGGACAGGTTACGGTTTTAAATTTGGGGTATGACGGCGCCCGAGGCGGACGCGCCGAGCGTGGCGGCGGGTAGGCAGGCCCGCCAGGCTCGGCGCCCGCCAAGCGGAGGGTAGGCAGGCCCGCCACGCTCGGCGCCCGCCAAGCAGAGGGTAGGCCAGCCCGCCACGCTCGCCTGTCTTGCGGGCCGGTCTAGGCGCTCTGCCCACTGCCCTTCCTTGTTTATTTTTTTCAGTGTGCCGCGCAGAGGTGATCATTTGCATAAGTAGGGTTTCTCGCTTCTTCGTCTACCTACCACGGCCCGACGCCTTATCCACGTACAGTGTACAGCCTTCGACCCTCGCAGCCTCCAGCCGGAAGCAGTTCGCTTCCTACCTGCAGAGTGATTCCGAACCGCGCGCTGTCTCTCTCGCACCAGTGGAGCACCCCATACCCGCAAGAGAGACAGAGAGAGCGAAGCAGACAATAAAGCCCGAGGTAACTCTGCGGGCGGACGGGTCCGGACGAGCCGTCCCGGCGCCACGGGGTTGCATTCGCCAAACGGGCTTGTTCGATATGCCGTGTTAATCTGGATTAAAGCCCCGGCCATCCTTGCCATCCTTGGCCCATTAGCATACAAAGAGCCGCAGTTTACGGCGCGGCGGCGGGGGCTGCCTCGCTCACACTGGCGGGGCGTCCCGCGTGCGTGCGAGAGAGGCAGAGCGAGGGGAGCGTTTTTAAATGGGCGACTTGGCGCGGCTTGGGGCTGCAGCCGTTGCGTCACAACGCAGCGCGAGGCGAGGATGGTTCGGCCGGCCGCCGCGGGGAGCGCCAGTGTGTGCTCGACGGGGACTTTGAGCAAGTCTGCAACGCGAGAACTCCCGGCGCTTGTATGCCACACTGGTAAAAACGGAAGCCTAGTAGCTCGTACGTTTACGCCTTACCTCATTGACTGTTCCGTTTTGAAAATTCACAGTCTCCGTGTTGTCTGGTCGATTTGCGAGAGCCGTGTGTTCTGTCCATGAACCGCAATCAAGCGGCATGTCCGCTAAGGCGGCGCTGCCTACACCGGTACACGTGTCGCTACTGAGAGCAGCTGTCGGCGGACAGTGTGCGGGACAGGCGGTGGGAGTGCGAGAGAGACAGAGCGACGACCGCAGAGTGCGAAAGAGACAGCGCTGTGGAACGCGCCGTGAGTGCGGCGGCGTTGGGGATCGCTCGGCAGTGCGTGGTCAAACAGATTCAAAATGGCGTCGGCGAGCAGGCCGCGCGGCGACAGGCGCGGACGGCCGCGCGGTGTGACAGTCCAGGTGGTCAGGTGGACGGAGGGGCTCGCCTAATACCCTGTTTGTGAGGGGCTTGAGCCCCAGCCGGCGGACGGACCGCTTCCGAGCACCGCTCTGTCTCCCTCGCACCCCCGCGGGACGCACCATGAGCGCGAGAGAGACAGAGCGCTGTTCGGACACCCCCCGCAGCGCCGTGGGACGCCAGCAGCACACCACCGGCCGGCTTGGCGGTGCTCTTAATCTGTTTAGCGAAACGAGAATAATGCGCATCGCTTGTTCGCTGTATCGCGCGGACTGGCAGGGCAGGCCGACTGGCCGGCAGACTCTTTTGAAATTTCAACACTGTTGAAAATTAATTTTTGAACATTCCCGGAATTGTTCGATGAAGAAACCTGCCAATATTTCTAGAAACTCAAAAGCCTCCATTTTGACAAGTTTTCAACAAGTACAAATTTGATCTTTTTGGAAAACGAAGCCTCTGGAAATTACTGGTGGAGCTTTGAAGGGAACTTTCCTTTATTGTCCAATTTGTTTTTTGCATTGAAGGATCGCGGCTGGAAGGCGGGAGGCTTTCTTGTTGTTGTTCTCTGCCGGAACGATTTGCATTTGGATAGGCCTTGCTCCTTCAGGGTGCCAAAGACCGCGGAGTCTTACTTTTACCGAACACGCGCTGATTTCTTAAACTTTCCGTGAGAACAAAAATAAATCCGAACTTGCGCCGATGCTGATCACTGGAGCGACGGCAGCAAACAACAACTAAACACCCCCACAAAGCACTCCAAGGGTTGCGGCGCTCGGGGCGGCCACGACCTCTGGAGGGGAAAGGAGGCGGAGAGGCCGAGGGAAGGGGAGAAAGACGAAGACGACACCAGCTGCTTGAGTCGGACAGGGATTGGATTAGCAGACGACGGGCTGTGAATCAACAGCGACGCGGCGCGCCCTGCGTCATACGTTGCCTCGTGTGATTCGGCCGGCGACGACGCGCGCACGGCCGCCTCCGTGACCTGCCCCGTGACGAGGGTGTGTCCATGACAGCGCTCACTCCGAACGGGACGCTCTGTCTCTCTCGCACGCCGACGGGCCGCGCCGTGAGAGGGGCAGAGCTCTGTTCGGAAGCGGCCTTCTGGTAGTCCCGCTCAAAAGTGGCGCGTCTCCGCGCGTCCCTATCGATGTCGCTGTCACGGCCAGAGTCGGCCTCGGCGGGCTGTGCTGCGCGGCCCAGCAGCGCGGCGACGCATCATTTGGTGGCGCGGCCGCCTGGCGGACTCGCCGAGTGGCCGACTGGGAGGAAAGAAACGAAACGGCTGTGTTTGTTTTTCAGGCCCGACCCTGATTGGCCGCGCCCAGTCTGTTATTCTGCCAGAGTACCTTGATTGGCGACACGACACATGGAAGTTGGCGCTCTTGTTTTCTCTGCGGAGCGGCGGAGCGGCGGAGCGGGAAGTCCACGCCAATTGGGGCCAAACTAGTGCCCCCGGCCTCGCCGCCGGCCCGGCCAGCCAGTGAGAGAGAGAGTGAGGGACAGAGAGAGAAGCGAGAGGGAAAGCCGGAGACTGTAGGCCGGCGTGGTTTGCAGTGCAGTGTGCGTGGAGGACGCGCTGCATCCGAGATTCCCCGTCGCCGCGCCCCGCCCCGCCATCTTCGGCGCCACACAATTCATTCGACGAGACAGGCGCGTCCATCAATCTGCTGGTGACGTCATCGCGCTGGTTACGCTTCCCTTACGCATTAATGAATTTGATAATGAAACGCTCTAACGTCATTAATACGGCAAACAAACGGTAGTGTCACCGCGTCTGCCAAGACGCGTGCGCCGTGCGCGCTGTGGCGGCACCTTCTCCCTTTCTCTCTCTCTCTCTCTCTCTCTCTCTCTCTCTCTCTCTCTCTCTGCTACGCTCACTGACTGGCAACACAGGGAGGACAACCATTCGTCATGGCCACGTCACTGTCAAGGTGCGTGCGTGCGCGCACGTGTCTGAAAGCGCATACGCCCACGCCAACACACACACAGACATCGCTCACACACACACACACACACACACACACACACCTAGTCACTGTGCGCTGCCAAAGTGGCATCACAGAGTCGGCTAGACAAAAACGTGGCCCGCTGGGCTGGGCTGGCTGGGCTGGCGCCTGCGGTCGAGAGGGTAGGCAGTCCCGCAGGACGTGGGTGCTCCGCGGGCCGGCTGCGCGGCAGGCGTCCTCGGCAGCTCCTCCCTTCAATTAGTTGACCACAAAGTTGGAAGTGGCGGCCGGTTCCGGAGGCTTGACACAAACACAGGATGGTAACGACGAGTTCCTAGTGCGATGGGCACGTCGTGTTCGGGGAACGCAGGAGCGCCGCCCAAACGTATTGGACCGTGGTAACCTGAGCGCGCTCGCTGCAGCGGCCCTCGAACGAAATCACGGGGCGCATTCGGTCATTTTGCGCTCTCATTCCGCGGCGGACGCTGCGGTTTGGAAAAGCATAAACTGCGCGGCAAATTGGAGAGGAAGGGTGCTAACTTTTTAATGGAACAGGGTTCGGTGCGGTGCCCCGCGGGGCCGGGGGGCCCGGCCGGCCTGGGCGACGCCATGACGACGCTGACGCCGTGCTCCCTGTGTCGCAGGCAAGCCGCCGCCCGCCGTGCGCTGGCTGCGCAACGACCGGCCGGTGCGGGAGGGCGTGACGCTGACGACGGGCGAGTCGCACTCCGACGCCGAGTCCCACATCCAGACCACCATCGAGATCGGCCACCTGCACCGCCGGGACCTGCACTCGCAGCTCACCTGCTCCGCCCACAACAACAACCGCACCGCGCCGCTGGTGGCCACCGTCCACGTCGACATGAACTGTGAGTACACTCGAAAAAGGAACAACTTTGCACCGAAGTTGCAACTTTTTTAAAAAGATTTTTCTCCCTATGGATGTGCGCTTCGAAGTTTACAGTGCTATTGATCACATGGACCTTTAAGTGTTTTTGTTTATTTAAATGGCAAAGTGCCTCCTTCATTCGTATTCGCAAAAAAAGGAATTTGAACAGTGAGTTGATTTGAACTTTATTTTTCCCGTTGTAGAAAGGGGTGTTTATTTTCAGACGTCCCAAGCCTGCAGTACACTGAAGTCAGGCCCAATTAAACAAGCCGGAGTTCCTGTTATACTAGGTTGGCAGCGCAAAGTAGCAAATCCCGAAAAAAATAAAAAAGAAGCAAAGAAAGGGAAAGGCTTCTGATGGCCTCTTTAGGAATGCGTCCCTCCGATTCTCCCTCTCAAGGACCACTCAGGACCGCGTCTGGATGGCTGCAGCTTTGAAAAGGGAATTCGACGGTTTTCCTTTTGTGACAAACAAGCGCTCTCCACCCAAAGCAAACTGTTTAGGCCTTTCCTTTCTTCTCTCCCTCCAGCAGATTGTTAATTTATTTTTCTCACTCGTCGAATCGATGACTTGGGGCTTTGCAGCGACCTCATAGAGAAGCCGCGCAGAGGATGATGGCCTTGCTGTGTGGCCCACCCACACAGTCTTAGACCCCTTCGCGCCCCGCGAGGTCTGTCCTCGCAGAACAGAGGCACAAAAGACTCTTTCGCGGTTTGAGACGGCCGCTGGATGGGTGGCTGGGCAGCCAAGGACCCTGTTTTTAATTTAGAAAAGTTTACAGCGTACACACGAAGTACGCATTTACACAAACACACACGCAGACATTCACGCAAACACGCAGGCGGTGGTTGAATTCTTGCCATTCATTACACACGCACGGCTCCAGCCCCATTCCAGACGCTGCTCTACGACGCGTGGTCATTTTCACGGTGCTGGCTGGACAAAATGGAGAGCTGGCGCGGCGGGGCGGGGCGTGGCGGGGCGGGGCGGGGCGGGGCGTGGCGGGGCGTGGCGGGGCGTGGCGGGGCGGGCGGGGCGGGGCGGGCGTGGCGGGGCGGGGCGGGGCGTGGCGGGGCGTGGCGGGCGGGGGGGCGGGGCGGGGCGGGGCGTGGCGGGGCGTGGCGGGGCGTGGCGGGGCGTGGCGGGGCGGGGCGGGGCGGGCGGGGCGGGGCGTGGCGGGGCGTGGCGGGGCGTGGCGGGGCGGGGCGGGCGTGGCGGGCGGGGCGGGGCGTGGCGGGGCGTGGCGGGGCTTGTTGGGCCGTGTCATTACTCTTCGTTAGCGGGAATCAGGCCGGGAGGACACACTGCAGCGGGCCATGGCCTGGGCCAGGGCCTGGGCCATGCCGCGCAGTGGGAGCGAGAGAGACGGCGAGACAGTCCGGTGGCGTAAGTGCAGGGCCAGGGCCGGGCCAGGGCCGAGCCGTGGCCGAGCCGGGGCCACCCCTGCGAATTAAGAGCAATGCCCAAGAAGGGCTTGGCCCTAAAAACCCAATTACCTCCTCCATCCCGGCTGGGGCCCTATTTGCCACACGCACATGTCCTTGTCGCGTTTACAAAAATATGCATATCTCCATCCCCTTACCCCTCCCCGACGAACGAACCCCTTCTTATCACTGGAAGACGATTGTTTGCACGTGTTGAGTCTCGGCGCGACTGAGGCAGAGGTTACCAGGTGCACAGTTCAGTTTGTCGAGGACACACAACCCTTACTTTTTGGTATTCTTTTGCTGTATAAGGCTGTGAAATTATCCTGTAGGAGGCTTGATGTGGTCCGCATGCGTCCTACTGGCCGTGCTAATGGGAAAGAACAATGTGTGTGTCCCACCTGGGCCGGCGTGCCTCTTGCCAGTCACGTAGCCGGCCGCAAACTTGTGCATTAACCTCTTGTTAAGGAGGGGCGGACATTCCTTGCCACGCTGCTGGCGAGGCAGAAGAGCCGACGGGGTCCATCTGCAACCCCCCCTTCCCCAACAATGTACTTTATATGGTCGTCTCTCAGCGAAAGAAAGTCTCTCCGCGACAGGCACTGCTTGAGGAAGGCGGGAAACTCCGGGGTGGGCTTTCACCTGGGGAGCCAAGCCGCCGACGCCACCAAAGTGACTCCCGGAGTCTGGATGGCACAGTGTAGCGATGCCTGAGAATTCCAGACTTGTCAGAGGCCATGGGGTGATGAATGGTCCTTAGGAGGTGGGCGCCCCATATCATCTGCGCCCCTCCCCCACCCCCGCCGCTGTCGTCTGGGTGGGCTAAACTATCCGCGAAGGTTCGTTGTCACGAGCGGTACCCTCAGGGCGCCTTCCTTTCGCAACTTCCTCCCCCCCCCCTTTCCCCCTCGTCTGTGCGACTCTTTCGTGCGGGATGCGCAACGCAAACTTTAGGCTGAGTAAGGAACCGTCGGATGGAAGGAAAAGAATTGACAAGGATAAAGCCCTTTCGCCCCTGTCGGTGGTAGTGATACGCCCACGCCGCGTTTCTTCTGTTTTTAGTGTTTTTGTGGCAGTTTCGACATAGGATTGTGTGTTGATCACCTATTTTGATAGTTCGTTCTTGTTTCCACCCAGCAGCCAGCAGCACGTGGCCTGAGCCGGGAGCGGCGATGCGGCTGTAGTACGCTCACGCACTGCAGCGCAAAACCTGCACCGAGACTGAAACAGTGTACGCCCTGTAGAGCCCCCTGTCCCTTTTCACTCCCCCCTCCCCCCAACCTTCCTTTGTACGCCTTTTGTTGCTGCGCCGGCACTTCATCATGAAGAGGGGGATCGTCTTCCGTGTCCCCAACGCGTCAAGCACCTTCCTCCTACGAGGGGGTATGACCCTAACAGAGTCCACATTGCAACAAACTCAAATATGCACAGAGCAGGTATTCGGCAGACGCGCGGTGTGCGCGTTGATATTCGGCCGTGCCCTCCCCCCCTCCCTCGCCGCGCCAAATGGTCCCTTTGGTGTGCGTGCGTCGCGGGCCGTCCCGGGCCGCCGTCAATTCCCCCGCACGTCGCCCAAGTAAGAATGTGCCACATTCATCCTGGCCCGGGGCCATTCTCTGCCCGACTCCAGGCCGGCCCGCCTGGGCCCGACCCGCACCCACCCATTCCGCGAACCACGTACGACGTCATCAGACTGGCCTATGGGTTCCGGGTTCCGGCGGCCGAGGACTCCGGGCGGCTCCGGGTTGTTCCGGCCGCTGTCGGGGGTTCCGGCATTACGTCGCCGAATGCCTTCCGAGATTTCGACAAAAGTGAGGGGCGACAACGACCCGGCCGACCGCCGCGGCCGCGGGCCAGTACTTCACGAGGCCCGCCGCACAGCAACAGCAGCTTGGCGGCGTCTTCTTGGCGGACTGCTTCTTTTCTTAAGGGCACGATGATTTATCTTGTTGAGTCTTGACGAAGCACGAGGTGGCCGTCAGGGGGCGGCCTGCCCCGCCCTGCCTAGCCCGCCTCGGGCGCAGCAACAGAGTCAAAGCAAGATCACGCCGCTATCGGCACCATCACGAGCCTCCCCCACCACTTTCCTTTCAGCCCTTCAGACCCTTGCGGCCCTTCAGGGCCTTCAGGCGCAGCGACGCACTCCTTGACGGATGCTCCTCGCGACGGGTCGTGGCAGAACAGAATGCGGCGAATAATACCGGGGCACGTCCCGAGGCGGAAACTACGCGGCCTTTTTCTCTGCCTTTCTAGTTGGCGTGCGTGCCCCCCGGCCTTTGTTTGCAATTTTTCTGGGATGATCCGTCTGTAGGAGTCGCGATAATTTTATTCGTCTTATTTTTCCTTCTCTGTCGAAACTAATTTCCTTCGCGTGTCTTTCGATTTTCTTAGCACACTGACCATTGTGTATGACGCTGACTCGCTGTCCGTAGACCAGCGGCACCTAGGATTTTTCGGCCATCCCTGGAAAAGTGGGTCCATTCCAGGACCCGCTTGCGAATGGCAGGTGCTGCCTTTGCTTGCTGGTCGAGAGAATCACGCCACTCGAATTTGGACCTGGACCGCGACGTGCACCGTCAGTATTTCGAGTCTGCGGTATCGCGTGGCGGCTGGCTCCGCTGGCTCCGCTGGCTCGCCGGGGCTTTCTATTGTAAGCGGATTACCGCACCGCACTCCCTCAATGCCAAAGATGCTGGGCGACCTTGGAGGCGGCCCAGCCGTGGCGCAGCTCGCCCTCGACTTTCCTCGCCACCTGCTGTGTGGTTTCACCCGCGTTCACCCCTCCGCCGCAGTGTCGGTTTACAAAGGGAGACTTAATTAAGGTACTGTTGTAACAGTTCGTCGCGCTGAATGGGTGCAAGGCGACGCCGCTGGCCCCGCCGGGCCCAAAACTTTATGAAATGCTCAGATCCAGCACATCGCGCAGAGCGGTGAAAAGCGAAGCACGATGCGTTCGAAAAGTGAATTCGAATAGCCCTTGTCCTTGGGCGGGTGAAGCCCCCGTACACAAATCGATGCTGGCATTACACAGTGTGGAACACGATTGGCAATATGAGTGTGTAGTCCCTGCTTGAAAACGGCAAAAAAATGGTTTTGCGTTTTTTTAGTGCGGAAGCGCTCAGACGAGCTTTTGACAGCGGGCTCAAGTAACCCTTTTTTTGCAAAAGCAAACACACAAATAAACGGAAAAAGCAAAGGGACGTGAAAAATTGGCGTAGCTTTGGGCAGCGAGTCAGTCAGCCAGCCGTGGATGCTTGAAACTTTGATCCGCGCAGAACTTTTGTACCGCAGCGCTGTAGAAATATCACAACGCCCGCACGGCATGGCAATGCGTTTTCTTGACAATAAGTACTCGGTGCCAGCCTCAGTGAGGGCGACCGGCCCGCTTGTGGTTTGTTTGTCCGCCCTTGCCGGGGTGGGCGGAAAACCGACGCACAGCCCAGCAGCGGCGCTGTCGTGGAGGTCGTGCGCTCGGACTGCGACGCAAAAAGAAGCGCCCGCTGAAACGTATCGGACTTTGCGCGCTACCTCGCGGCCGGGGCTTGCAGTGCAGGCGCTCCAAGTTTCCACCGGGCTGGGTGGCGGCGCCGCAGTTGATTCCGAACAGTGCCCTGTCTCTCTCGCGGTCGTCAAGCGTTGCCTGGGTGAGACGGAGCGACGCTCCCGGCCTGCAGCGCCGCAGCGCACCCTTTATGGCCTGGAGACCGAGATTCATTTTGCCGGCAGGCCTGGCCCCCTTCGCACCACAGCAGCTGTATACGGACACGGCGTGGGGAGGGGGGGGGGCTCCAAAACGGAACAACGGCGTGCGCGATTCACGCGCAGCCAAGTGGAAGACGAAAAAAACGGACTGTAGACGCACATGCACGTGGCCAACTTTGTTGGGAGAGCGACGAGTGACCGGTGCGTCGATGTTGGAAATGCGTTCGGCGCCCTTCGAAGCGGAACGCAGCGGAACGCAGCGTGGCGAGGTGAAGCGGCCGCGCCGCACTCTGCTCTCCAATCCCACTGACCCGTGTCTGCCGCTTTCTCGGAAACCCCTGCGTCTGCATGCGCGGACGTCCTGCAGGCTGGCGTCTCTCTCTCTCTCTCTCTCTCTCCTCGTCTCTCTCTCTCTCTCTCTCTCTCTCTCTCTCACCGTGGCGCGATGCCCCGCGAGTGCGAGAGAGAGGGAGTGGGAGGGTCCTCACCGCGTAATGAAGTGACGTGGGTCGGGCGGCTGCGAGCCGCAACGAGCGGAAGGGTTCGCGCCACCCCATCGAGACTGCGCCGGTCGAGCCGGTCGGGCTGGCCAAGCGCCGAACGACTGCAAAAAAAATATATATGGAAAAACGTAAGCTTTGTTGTTTTTATAATAATTTCACAACTCTAAATCGTATTTTGTAAGCAGAGATTTTGGGTCCAACTCATTCAATAACAAACTTTTAAAAAAATCATTTTTGATGTGGGCAGTTGAATATGAAAGTTTCCAAGAACGGGAACACTGTTCGTCAAAGTGATTTTACAAGTAAATTACTACACTCTTGTGCGTCGTTTGTTGCATTCGTTCTCTTCAACTTCTCTTTATGCAAAGACCGAAAACGAAACCAAGCGCCGAGTCTGAGAGTGACGTCCTGCTTTGCTCAATCGATGCGACCTCCGCGCGTCTTTCGACGCCCTTTCTTTCCCTCTCTCTCCCACTCGGTGTTTTGCCGCCCCGTCTCCAGTGACTTTGCCGGAAGGCGGCGGCCTTGACGGCGACCTTGACCGCGCGGCCGGCCGACACACGCGTCCAAGCATGCGTCACATCTCGATCCCCGGCCGTCTGAACAAACGGAGCGCCCTATTCATCTCTCGGCTTGTGACATGCGTGTGCCGCCAGCCGTGCCTGCTCTGCGAGCCCCTCATGGCCCCCAAGGCCGTCAGGCGAAGGTCACCTTCCAGACACCTTGGCGACGTTGTCTGACGACGACGCGTCCGCGGTGTCGTAGGTCGCAACCCCAGTGGTCTCTTCCACCTGAATTTGACTTGACTTGTGGTTTCAGCGAGGGTTTCTGTATACAACGGCCCATTAAAACACAAGCCCGTTGTTTTGGAAAACATTTGCAGACTTTGTTGACGTTGCTGACGTGTGTTCTGTTCGACAGTTCCGCCGCTGGACGTGCACATGCTGCTGGCCGAGAGGGCGCTGCTGTCGGCGCGGACGCGCTACGACCTGGTCTGCCAGTCGTCGGGGTCGCGGCCGCCGGCCACCATCACCTGGTGGAAGGACGGGCACCGCCTGTCGGGCACCAAGGAGACGGTGAGTAGGGTAGCGTGCGCTAGCGCCAGCCTAGCGCCAGCCTAGCGCCAGCCTAGCGCCAGCTGGCATCAGTCACCTTTCAAAATGCCAGGCGCTTTTCCGAACTCAAAAGAGATCAAACCACCAGGTCTTTGTGCGGGCGGCACAACCAGACGCTCCCGTCTCTCTCTCTCTCTCTCTCTCTCTCTCTCTCTCTCTCTCTCTCTCTCTCTCTCTCTCTCTCTCTCTCTCTCTCTTCTCTCTCTCTGTTTTTCACCTGTTTGATTCGGCGCACTTTTCCCATCTCTGCCTGCGGGGCACTGCGGGGCACTGCGGGGCACTGCGAGAGCACCGCCGCCAGACTGCGGCCAGATCGCTGATAGTCGAAGTCATCAGCATGCGTGCTCATGTTGCCTCGAGTATCGCCTGCTTCGCCTGCTTCTTTAGCGACGAAAAAAGGCGAGGCGGCTCCAGTAAAAAGTGGCAGGTGGGCGGAAGCCAGGCGCCTGCGTCGTTTGTGCAAGCAGCGCGGAGGCTGCTTTTGTTGTTGGCGCCGTGGTGGAGGCTGCTCTTGTTGTTGTTGGCGCCGTGGTGGAGGCTGCTCTTGTCGCTGCTGCCGCACTGGTATTCCTTGAACCTCGTGCCACCGCCCTGCTGTGCCCTGCGGTGCCCTGCGGTGCCCTGCGGTGCGCGGCGCTGCTCGGCAAACTGCGCTCGGCTCCGAGATTTTCAATCTTCGGCGCGCGCGATATGAAAGACGTTGCTGAAGGGCTCCGCTCGCTCGGGCCGCTCTGCTCCCTGCTGACAAATAGCCGCTACCGGGGCCCGGACCGGGGCCCGGCTCCAAGGTTCGGGCATCCCCCACCCCTCTCCCCACTGCTCCGTCCGCGACCGAACTTGGCAAGTTCATGGACCTTGGGTCGGTCCAAAACTCGCCCGGCTGCTGCACTAGAAGAGCAAGTCGCACTCTGTTGGTGGCCGCGGCCTTCTCTTTCCCTGCAACCCTCTCCCCTCCTCGCCGTCCCTTCCGCATCCGGACCCTTCCAGCAACAATCACCTCGCCGCCCGGACAAACTTTGGCCGAGGCAGTAAATCACCTTAACTTCGACATGATGAAATGCACTTTTCATGTGTACAGTCCGAGCCATAAAGCCGCGCTGTTCGGTCTCCGCGACTGTCGAAGCGAATGGCGGCGTGGTCCTGGCGTCTTGGAGTGGGTAATGTGGTCGAGGGGGCGCTGAGTGGGTTCGCCTGGAGGCTCCACGGAGCGGCGGACGGGTAGGCCGAGCCTCGAACGAAGATGACCCTCCATCCGTTGCATAAACCTTTCATTCCACGTGATCTATGCACGGCCGGCCACCCTACAGCAAGCCAAGTGTACAAATGTGGCGCATCCATTTAACTCGCCTGCGCTCCGCCCTCCTCGCGGAAATTCCGGAGCAGAAAAAAAAGGGCAGTCAGAATTAAAACGCGCGCGCGCGCGCTTTAAAAACGGGCAGCGAGCGCGGTGCGCGGATCATGTAAATTTCGGGGCGCGCGCCGCGCACTTTGCAGCCCTTTCATGAGGCGGGGCGGGGCGGTGGCTGCGCGGCTAGTGGCGGCGAAACATTCACCACGGCGCCACCGGCTCGAAACAAGTGGCCAAGTGGCCATGCATACACGGCGCTGTTTTGAAGGGCCATTAGCATGCAGCAGACCAACCAGGCCAGCCAACCAGCCCGGCTAGTAAGTCAGGCCGTCAGGCTGGGCAACTGTGCGGTCGCTACGGAGTGCCTCGCAGTGCTACGACTCCATCGACCCGACACCTCCCTCTCTCTCTCTCTCTCTCTCTCTCTCTTCCTCCCTCTCTCTCTCATACACACACACTCGGGGTGAATTTCACGGCGCGCGGCGCGTGAAGAGGGTTAAAAGAATTTTGTAAAGGGCCCTCGGTGTGTGTGCACACTGTGCACGGTGCTCCGCTGCAGCCTCACTTGCTCTCGCGCACGCACAACGCGCCAACGATACTCGCGGGAAAAGCAGCGGTTCCCACAACACGAGACGCTTCAACCGGACCAAGAATTTCCTTTTCCTTTATTCACACCACGGAGACACGTGCCTACTCAGAAAAGCTGTCCTCAAAATGAAACCAAGCCGAAACGGGCGTTGCCGCGAGCAATGCTCTCTTTTCTGAGTAGAAAGCTGGTTGGGAAAACATGGGTCACTAACTCGGCGGCCAAATGTTTCTGTTTCGGCTGCAAATGGCGGCGGCGTGACGAGAATGCAATGGCGCTATGGATTGGCCGCATGGGTGGGAGGGCGTGCAGGGCGCGCACTGGCTGATCCCTTTGCAAGAGGTAAACAAGTTTGAAAGCCATTTACCCGAGGTCGCGGCACCTCAACTTTTTATCTGACTGGAGAGACGAGAGGCGGTGGCCAACTTTTCACATGTACGCTACCAGCGCCGACGAAGATTGCCGGTGTCCCTTCATTCGACATGCTCCAGGACTACAGAACAGGTTCAGGTCCACGAGTCGAGCGTCACATACTGGTCCCAAACGTGGAAAACGGCAACGATTTTTCCGCGTCGCTTTGTTTGCTGCGCGTGGGAGAGTGCGCCAGCTCTCGGCAGATCCAAAGTGGTACCGTACAGCACCGAGTCCGCCAGGTGGCACTCAACGCGCCCCTGTCTCGACCGTCCACTTTGCCAAAGCGTCACCAAGCGTCGCCAAGTGTATGCGGGCAAACTTGCCAAACTCGCGGGTGACGCGTGGTGGCACTCTCCCTGCAGTTCGTCCAAAACTTGCTCTCCTTTTTTTTGCTTAAAAAAAAAAAAAACATTATCACTCAGCATATTTCAGAGAGGGCACCCCAGATCACTTGCGCCTGAAAACGCTCGGTTTGGAAAGCCTCCTCGATTTTAGCTTTTCGCATTGAATGGTAATAACGACCCCCGACCCTTTCCTGCGCCGCGCCGCCCCGCGCCCTATCGCACCGAGGAGCAGATGATAAATGAGAGTGGAAAATATTGTGCCATTTTGGCCGTGACAAAAATGGGATGGCGGCTCCGATACATTCATCCTCATGCGCGGCAGGTCGCCGGGGAGAACTTGTGTCAGGTGAAAGTGCTTACGCTATCAAGGAAAGATCTGCAAATGGGACTCCGCCGCTCCGCTCCTGCCCCTTTCTTCCCCGCCCCACTCCACGTCGCTTCCCATTGGCGCTCGTCTGCTGGAGGGCCGAGGGGGCCAGCCCGGCCCGGGACGGGGAGGAAGCAGCCCGAAATTGATAAATGTGCTGTGAATATAAACAACACACCGCATTAAATCACGTGGGGTCAGGGCTGCAGTGCGGCCGGAGTGTTGCGTGCTGTCGAAGGAGGTTAGCAGGATGCTCCAGGCGAAATGGATCGCTGCCACCCCCTTGCAGGACCTATGCAGGACTCATGGGAGGGGGCGGGCACGACCACCATCCAAGCTCCAACCATCGTGTTTATTTCGAATCCAGTTTGAGAGCAAGAAGAGCTCAAAATGTTATCAGACTTTTGACAAAACTGGCCCGTTGGCTGGCTATACACCTTCGCCATCGCGCAGAACTTGCAAATTCTCTTTCGTGAGCCTGAAGGGGTCTTGGATGTTCGGAGAAACTTTTTTGGCCTGAGGGCCATCGCAGGACATGAGCAGCCCCACCAGCGCACAGAGACCTTGTCCAGATGTTTGGCGCATTTTTGCCCGGTCTGGGCGGGTCTCCTTGGCGTGGTCTTGGCGCGGTCTTGGCTTGCGCGTTTCGGATCTCCAGGGCGACCCTCCCCTTTGCCTTCGGTCGGGCTTCCCTCCGCATCGCCCGCCGAGCCTGGCCAAACCCTGCAGCCAGCTGTCTCCCTCGCACTCATGGGTCGTCCCGAGTCGTTGAGGCGGCGCGCCGAAGCCCCGTTCGGATTCAGCCTGCAGCGCAGTACTTTGTGACCGAGGCTCCTTTGACGCCGCGTCGTCTTACGTGCCCCAAAGAGAGATCCAAGTCCGGGACGTCCAGGACACTGCCAACTAAAAGCTCATTTCCATGGCATTTGTCCCGAAACGTCTACAAAACAGGTCCACACAGGTTCCCCTGATTTCTTGGCTCGGTCAGCTTGGCAAGTCCCCGCATTGGCTCGTTACGTAGCCTGGCCATTTTCCACAGCGCATCTGATGCCAAAACTTTATCACAGGGTATCTTTCGTTTGCTCGGACTTCAACACTGCCCTGGCCGCGGGGTGGGCCGGCCCGGGAACATTTGGCGTGTATTCCAGTGCGTCAGGATTTTTCCACCCCTGACCAGACCATGTAGCCCCTCGCCTCGCCCGCGCATTGTGCTCCTCGGTGCTAACTGTTTCCGATGGTTGCCCCGCCCCCCGGCCTCTCCCCTAAAAGCCTCACTCGGCGCGAGTGTGTGTGTGTGTTGGTGAGTGTGCGTGTGTATGTGAAAGTTGGTGTGTGCGTGTGGGGGCACGAGTGCCCACGATCCTGGCACAACAATCGCTTGGCATCGCTTCAAACGCGTTCGGACGCTCATAAACTAACTGCGGGGCCAACATATTGTCGGCCGCCATACGCATACACGCGGTGCGTGTGTGGAAAGAATGGGCCGACTTGGCAAAATAATAAGAGCAGGGGAAGGGGGATAAAAATCGGTGGAGGAAATCAAATAGAATAATACCCTGTTCGGTGGACCGCGCGAGGCTCCATCGCGAGACTGGATTTCGGGACAATTTTGTGATTGGTTTAACGCGGATAACACGATTCAGTCCCCGTCGGCCGCGCCGTCAGGAGGGACTTAAAGCTCCGAACCCCGAATCGTCGAGCAAGAGGCAGCCAGCGCAAGTACACTCAGAGTGAACGAAAGAGGCGGGGAGTATTTTATCAATTTTATCGTCAAAATTTAGGGCCTTACATTGGCTCTTTTATTCTCAGTGTGCTAGCAAGGACGCACGTATGCACGCAGAAAAGGGCGAAATGATGGTGTTTGAGGAGTCCTCCACCGAGAGCGAGGTGCCGCGGTGGAGGCCATGCATTCCTTTATGTCGGCCTTCGGCTTGAGGTGGGCTAGCATAGTTCCTGGCAACTTGCCTCCTCCCCCGGTCCGGTTCGTCCCTTCGACCCCCGGGCCGCTGGGCCGCCCGGCCGGGCCCGTCCCCACCTCGCACGTCGCAACCTTCTTACGGAAAAGCAATTTTCGGTTTGCAGGCGAGTTGTTTGGAGGAATGTTCGGAGAATGGTGTGCCCGAAGGAGCGGCGACTCTGTACGCCCCAAGTTTGGAACAAAAGCCTGCCCCGAACGAGCGAGGGGGGCTGAAAGTTTCCTAGGGATGGCAAAGATAATAAAATGTGTCAAACGCAATATTGAGCTCCTCCCCAACTCTTTGGTCGTCCTCGTCGTCCTCTCCCGAGTCGGAAGGAAAAAACAAGTTGAAGAGACGCTCCTCTCGGCCACCATCGCGCCGGCCTCTCCCAACTTGTTATTTTTAACTACAGCTTAATTATTGTTAACATTCTTGATCCTTGTTAGGAAGTCCTGTCCATCCTTTCTGGAGACGTTTCTCCTCCCCCGGATTAACCCGCACTCGCCACGCGAAAGGTGCTGTCCCTGGGCTCGTCCTCGTCTCGAGGCGCCTTATCTTCTCACTCACCAGCAGCAGAATAATCTTGGCAGTCTCCAGTCGTAGATAAGGCCTCCGAAACTTTCTGTTTCGTTTTTTATGTCTGTTTGGCTGCATTTAATACGCGCCAACATTTAGAGCCCTAGTTTCATGACAATCCCTTTTGTTGACAATTTCATCTACGTTCGACTGGTTTGACCATTCCTTGCGCTTCAGTCTGCACAACTGTGCCCATGAAGTGCAGCCTGGACTAACTACGAGTAAGAATACTCATATCAGCCGAATCTGGAGAAAATTGTCAACACTGGCTGAGTGTGCTGCGCACTTTGTGGCGAGTGGTCTCAAACTTTTGCGCGACTGCCCTTAAACGGTGCGCGGAGGGAAGGAGAGGGCACATGTAAGAGAGAGAGAGAGTGAGTGAGAGAGAAAAGGGGGGCCGAGTGCAATCCGGTCTATGAGGACACGGTGCTGCTCGTCGGTGGCCGAAATAAACAGGACTCCTGGGACCGGACCAGTGGACCGGCCTCCGCCAAGCAAAGGCCTCCCCTTCTCTCTCTCTCTCTCTCTCTCTCTCTCTCTCTCTCTCTCTCTCTCTACTGGGTGCCGACTTCTCTGCGCTGGCCGAGGGGCAAGGCAGGGCAGGACTCTGGAGCGCCACAAAACCAGAACATCGCCACACGGAAGAAAAATGTGCTTTGTAAATTGCCGCTTGGATTTATGTTTCGCGGCGCTATCTCAACTGCAGAAGAGTTCTCGGTGCGTTAGGGCACTACCGCGCCGGCACAGGTCGAGGGGCTGGAGGGGGAGGGGGAAGGGGGCGGTGGAAGGGGAGGGCGAAATAGGAAACCGGTCGGCTTGTTGACTTTCGCCTCATTGAGGTCCTCGTTGGATCCAGGGGAGGGAAAATGAATTGCATCGCTCTGCTTTACAGTGGCAAATATATCCCCCGCGAGCGTCCCCTTTCTCGAGTGCAGTCTCACATTGCCCCCTCCTCCTTTCCCCCGTTGGTCCGCTAATAGTTTGGTACTTAGCAGCGCTTGGCGGTCGCAGCGTTGTTAAAAGTTACTCTCAAACTGGATCGCTACGGCCACAATAACGTTGCGACTTGGTTGGCGTTAGCGTTAACGATCCCTGCACTACACTTACGCCACTGCACTGAACGAAAACACCATGTCAAACAAAATATATCGGGGTAGTGTTGTAGCGAATGTAACTTTGCCCGGTGAGGTAAACAAGGTAAAACGGACGGGTGGGACTTCTCGCTCGCACTCGCGCACTCCTCACAGCGCCATCTCTTTTCAGCAGGTCCACGAAACCTCTGAAGTGTACTAAACTGTTTGGCCGGGCTTCCTGTTTCGATAGCTCGCAGTGAGGTGGCGCGCGGCTCTGCGACACCAGCAGGTGGGCCACGGTGCCCCAGGCCCGTGCCCGCCAGCGGCTGCCAGCGGCCTGCCACTCCGAGGGAAAGCCCAACTGGGTCCGTGTGTAACTTTGCCTTGCCTGGCTGTTTGCAGACCTCGACGGACGGCAACACCACCACCTCGACGCTGTCGTACCACCCCGCCAAGGAGGACGCCGGCAAGACGCTCACGTGCAAGGCGTCCAACACGGCCATGGAGGGCGCCGTCCTGGAGGAGAGCCGCCTGCTACACGTGCAATGTAAGTACACGTCAAGAAAAGTGAGGGCGCACGTAAAAGTTATTTCCATTTTAATTTTATTCTGTGGTTAACGTTGGTGGCAGTCACCGCTTTCGAGATGCAGAAGCGTGGCCTTCCTCATCCTCACATTGCTCTACGAGATGCAGATGCGTGGCCTTTCTCATCCCCACCTAGTGCACTGCATTGACACTGCATGCGGAGTCCCGGCCAAAGCACCGCATGGGGTGGAGCTCGTCTAGGTGAGGTGTATCCGAAGCCTCTAATGCTGGCGAGGGGAGGGGGAGCCCATTCAGGAGGAGGGTCGCACATCCAGTGTGAGTATCCCTAGCGAGAGGGCCGATACGTCACATACTCAATGGCGTGAATGCACCGGGCCGGGGCAGCCCAGGCTTGGCGAGCTCGGGCTTTACAGCCGGGGTGGAAAGAGGGGTCGAAAGGGCTCTCTTGGGAGGCGACTCCTCGAACCGAAATGGTATCCTTCTTCTCCTCCGATAGACGCGCGCTCGGGTCGAGGTGTTGTTGCGCGGCTGGAACGACCGGGACGGACCACGGTGGACTCGGCCCCTCGGCAAACAGGCATGAAAGCAAAACATACGCGCGGTCGCGCGGAGGACGAGTCCCAAAAAGGTGGCAGTTTTGTTGACGGATTCCCGGGAAGCCTGTCGGGGTCATGCTCGCGGTTACCTGGATTCGCCTGCCAAAGTTGGGGCAACGAACTGTGGGGGGACGCTGCCCTGGCTCGACCTCCAACGGTGCGCCCCGCGAGTACGAGAGAGACAGAGCGACGAAAGCGCAGTTTGGCACACGCGGCCTTCCGCCTCGCTCTGGCACTTATGATGGCCCAGCGGAAACGGTGCGTCGTCCGTGAAAAGTCTTCCTGCAGGGAGGCCGGGGCGGCGGGCCAGGCCGATCATCCACTTTCGAGGCAAAGACCCCAGTGCTCCTGGACCCTGGAGCTCGGCCGAGGCCCGGCCCAGGCCGCCACCCCATTTCCTCGTCGCAGATTTACTCGCGGGCCGTAACGCTTTGGGGCCTCTAACGGCCGAGGCCGAGGACCGCGGCGAGGCGGCACGGCGCGGAGCGCACCTCGTGTACATAAGAGTAAAAAATGGGGGGCCGCTTTGTAATAAGGTGGCCAAATGAACGGCGGTTACGTCTAGGAGCTGGAGGAGGAGGGGGAAGGAGGGGGAGTGAGGCGGTGGCCGCAAGCAGCGTCGTCGGCGTCCTCGAGGCGCGCCAAATTACACGCCGCCAAATTACAAAAGTAAATCATTGTCATAAATAAGTCGCGACGCGCAATGCGTGTCGCAAACAGCCTGGGCATTAATCGCCCCCGCGCCACTGTGAACGCCCACACTGTGCGTGCCGGCCGACAGACACCAGCGACGTCAGGTAGCGGTGGCTGTGAGTGGCAGGTGCGCCGCTCCTCCGCGACCCGCAGGGCCCGCGGGCTGGTGCCGAAGCGAAACGTATCGTAGTACTGTCTCACTCGCACTCGCGGCGCGTCGCGTAGCGGTGCGAGAGAGCGGAGCGAAGTCGTTCAAAAACAGGCGCTTTATTTTCTCGTCCGAAGTTTAGCGCAGGAGCTCGGCCCGACTGCCTAACGGACTTGAAGAGACGAGGGCCCGGGTACCTTGTGCCCGCCAGGCCCGCCAGACCCACCTGGCGCCCGGAAGGGTGGGCTTGCCACCACCCCGCCATCGCAGCACTCACACCAAGGCGAACGTTTTCTTTTCTTGTTTTTCCCCACGTGTGGGGACTTTGGTTGCTCTGTATTAAAAGTACCTACCGAATTTAATAGATGAGTTTGCGCAATATTTTGTTTCCAAACCTGCCTTTTCAAATTTGCTTCCTAACCTCCCCCAAATTTGTTTGTCCGAGGGCAGCGCGGGTGCCTCTTTTCAGCTTCTCAAGGTCCGCCTGTCCGTCCGTCCGTCCCAGAGCGGCGTCCCACTGCAGTGCTGCATGGCCTTTGCTGCACTGTGGATGCCGCTGCGCTGGGACGGCCGGCGCTCTTCCGTCCCCAACTAAGGCGCTGACAGGGGTAGTCGTTCAGCCATCCCTGGACCTGATTTAAACAGAGTCCATAAAGTTGGGTGTCCCTGGGGCCTGCGCTGCGCGGGGCTGCGAGGGAGGGGGCTGGCCTGCAAGGGGGGTTGTTGGGTCTGGAGTTGCGGCCCCCTCCCTGCAACACTGTAGGGACACGCCCCCTTGGTCAGAAGCCCCATTCCTCACCGGCAGGGCCGAGGGCAGGGCCGAGGGCAAGCCAGCAGGGTCCCTCTGTCTCTCTCGCACTCGTGGGGCGCGCCCTGGCGGAGCGAGAGAGACAGAGCGACGGCGCGGAGCGAGCCACCCTGCCCCCCGAAGGGCCGCGGGGCTCGCCCAGGGCGCGAGGGCTAGTTTAGGCCAATAGTGCGCCTCCGCGCCGTGTATCAGGCAGCAAAAGTTATGCACAGGCCGAGGGGCCGCCTTGGCCAGCCGTAGCCTTGGGACAGCTGGACAGTGCGGTGGCGGCAGATTAGCAGTTGTTGTCCCGGGACCGCGCGACCGCCCACGCCTTCTTTCACGCTGTAAAATCGGCCAAAAATGATGGCTGATCCCTAGACAGTTCGAAGGATGCGAAGCCGTGGCGTCGCTGTCTCTCTCGCACTCACGCGGCGTTCGGCGCGGGTGCGAGAGAGACGGCGAAGAGACTCTTCGGGGTCGCTCGGCAGACCGGAATAGAGCGCTCCAATTAGGCGATTCGGGTTTCGGCGCGCCGCGCTAAATGCGCCCCCGCCAAGTGGCGTGGCGAGGCGTGGCGGCGATGAAATAAGAAGCACGCCGCCGTCACCAGAGCCGTGCCGCGCCGCGCCCCACGTGCCCGCCGCGCGACGGACCGTTCGTTTAAATCTGTTAATCCGGCGTCGTCTTAACGACGCGCCACCGCGGCGCAATTATGTCTAGTTTGGCGCGACGCTCTTTCGGGCGAGTTTGAGCGGCGGAGCGGCGCGCTGTAGCGGCTGGGGCGGCTGGCTGGGGCGGCAGGCTGGGGTACATGCCGCGGCACATGCCGCCCGTCGCGGCCCGTCGCGTCGCGTGGAGGAGGCCTTGCCGCCGAGGACGAGTTCCTTTGAGAATTACCCCTCCCACCGCCCACCGCGTCCTTCGCCCGCACTAGTACAAGTTGGCGGCGCGGCACGGCGCGGCGCGGCGCGCGATTTCGAGGGGGTTTCAAATTATTTCTCTCCGTCGCGTCGACGGCGGGGGGAGAGGGGAGGGGGAGACACTACTTGTCTGGATGAGGGCGCCCGGCGTTAAGCGGCGTGCCGATGGAGGTCATGCAGGCCGTAATTGCGAGCCGACTCGTCACGTTGCAGTGCCTGGCGGGCTGCCTGCCTGCCTGGCAGCCTGCCTGGCAGGGGACCGTCCATGATGCCCTCCGTCACCTCGCTGCAACTAATTGCATTCCCAGTGTAGCTACAACAGCTTTGTCCGAAGGTGCCGCGCTTCCGCCTTCGATGCAAGCGCTTGCAGTGCCTCGACGGGATGCAGTGTACTGGCGCACCAGTGCACCCTCCTCGGGCCCCGGCAGCAAGAAAACAAGTAGTTAGCCACGTTAACGAGTCCGCGGGTCGCCGTCCGCGCTCCCCGCCTCCTCCTTTTTCCAGTGTGCCTTGTCAAGCCCAGCGCTCTCTCTCTCTCTCTCTCTCTCTCTCCTCCCCCCCTTGGTGACGCCGCACTCCCTCTAGTGGCGCCGCCGAGCACGTCCTGCCGCCCAGCCGAGGAGAGAGAGGAGAGGGTCCCCTTAGCGCAAACTTTGCACCAACAGTTCAAATATGCTGACCGTCACGAAACGCATATGTTATTTGGGACGTCGAGACAGGACGGGGCGCTGGGTCCCGGCCGACTGGTGGGCCAGGCGGGGCTGGGGCCGGGGGGTCCGGGCGGCCGGGGGGTCCCTGGCACGCACGGCGCTAAGGCCTCCTTATCACCTGGGCCCGTGACTCCCGTGGCTCGGGCGGGCCCGCCGTGATAACAACGATACACCGTCAAGAGTGAAGAACGCGAGGGAAAATGGCGGGGGCGCAGAAATAAAGTCGAATTGGAACCGTAGAACGGGGACGGGAATTCGTCGAGCGCCGTTCACGCACACACGAGAGCGGAGAGACAGAGAGGCAGAGACAGCCCTTGATTAATGGATAGATTTCCATGCTGATTGCAATTTTCCGCTCCGAAGGCTCTGCCACTTTGGCGTATCTTGTGCTGTTTCCATTTTCGTGTGTCGTTTCCTCACTCTGGCGCGTCTTTTTGTGTCAACACACAAGCACATTCGTCAACCTTTTTGTTATTCGTCACCCTTTTTTTGTCTTTCTTCCAGAGCAAATGACTCGATCGGCCGACTGCCGGCTGAGTTTTCATCCCCGCCGTTCGACTCATTTCCCTCCCCCCCCCCCCCTCCCCACGCCACCGGTGGCACAGGCGAGCGTCCTGTGGACTGGAAGTGCACAAATTGGCGTTGCGTGGCGTTGCGTGGCGTATCGTCCGGGACGCGCCGGGGACAGCCAGCACTGCCATTTCCCAACCTTCGCCTTCCTTGGGTCCCTTGCGGTGGTGGCACTGTTAACAATGAATCGAAAAGTCCCGGAATATGCGTTCCCTAGCTCTGTCAAAAATTTCTCCGAAAATATTTTTTTTTACCTTTACCAGCTGAAAATTCATTGAAAACAAAGGCATTTTAGGTTTTTAAATTTTTCCAAGACTAGAGAGGCTGGGGGATTATTTTTTTTTCGAAAATTCTCCGGAAATCTCTTTTGAGGAAAGATTTTTTTTTGTCACAGTGGCCGAAAAATGGGCCTGCGGTAATCAATATAGAGGAATATGTGCTGAGGCGGCATGAGTGTGGCGACGGTCGCCTTGGCATTGATAGTAATGAAGATGTGTGGGCGCGCGATGATAACGCTCCGATTTATCACTGTGCCAGCTGTCCCCTAACGTGTCCAGCGGCGCCGCTCTCTCTCTGTCTCTCTCGCACTCGCGGCGGCGTCCCGCAGGGGTGCGAGAGAGACGCAAGCGACACTGCGCGAAATCGCCCCGCTGGCGCGCGGCCCGCCGGCTGGTCGGGGGATAAGTACGGCGGCAAAAAAGGGGGGCCCGCTTCCGGTGGGATTTGAACCCAGGTTTCGCGCGCTCGCATTGGGAATCGTCGGATCGCGGCGATACAGTCTGTATCATACAGACATCCAGTGGCGTCAGCAGGCTTGATTTACGGGCCCGGCCAGTTGAACGGCCAAACTGCTGCCACGGTTGAATGCAGTCTATCTAGGCTAGGCCGGCCGAGCCTAGCCAGTGTGCCAGTTCCGCGAGAAGACCTTAGCAGCGTTAGCCGCATGGCCAGGCGCCGCCACGCGCGCTGCTGACGGCGCCAATCGCAAAGTTGTGCCATTTACGGGGTGGGTACGTTCCGAACGACACTGGTAAAACCAAGGTCCCGAAAGGTAGGCGAAAATCAAGACATTGCCTCTGTGTGCCGAGATAAAGTGCCACTGTGTCCCTCTCCCCTCCCAGGCCCGCCCTGGATCCGCCCTGGCCCAGTTCCTGGACGGTTTCATTGCGTCCAGTCCGTCCGGCCCGCCGGTATTGATGCCCAGGAGTAAACACAAACCGTCTCATTCTGCCTCTTTTATTCCCGCTACTTCATTTGGCCTCCCTGCCTCGCCAGAGGGAAGTTCCCTCCGACAGCAGGAGGGTCGGATTATCCTTTGCTTCGTGTGTGTGTGTGGTGTGTGTGTGTGTGTGTGTGTGTGTGTGTGTGTGTGGTGTGTGTGTGTGTGTGTGGAGTGTAGTTGTGTCACTAGTGGTCGGAGGGCTGTTTAATTCTTCCAGTGGCTCCGGCAAAGTTTGTGGCATTTATGGCGGCATGATCGGTTTCCCATTATCGAACGCGCGCCTGTAATGGATTGTTGTTGTTTTGTTGCAGATGTTCCCGAGACGAAGCTGCTGCTCGGGAAGTCGCTCAATCCCGACAACATCCGCGAGACCAGCGACGTGTACTACGACTGCCTGGTGGACGCCAACCCGCCCATCTACAAGGTGGAGTGGAGGCACAATGTAAGTCAGCCTTCCTTACTAAGTTTCTCACAAAGATTCGTGGCCGTAGCGGACAAATCTCTCTCTGGCGCTTGGGTACTCGTACATTAAGGTTTGTCTGGTGGCGTCGGTTTTTAACGCCTAATTCGACGCTGTTGCGCTTCACAGCAGGACGCCTCTGTTGGCGGCATGACTCGCCGGTACTCCTTTTTCAATTAAAGTGCGCAAAAAACCTCCCCCGCCTCCAGCGGGAAAAGCATTTGGGGGATATTCCGGGAGAAGTCACCCAGCCAGCCGATCCAATTTGCCGAAACGGAAAGGTTATATTCGTCTCTCCTTTTTTACTTCCGCCGGTACTTATCCGTTTGCAGCCCAATCTCCTTTCTGACTCGAATGACGAGTCGCTTTCATGGACGTCGTCGCACGTTATTGAAAATAAAAGGGAGGAGGAGGAGGAGGACTCGCGAGCCTCGCAGTGGCGCGGTGACGGACCGGCGATAAAGGGTGGCTAAAGAAAGAAGGGGATAACGAAGAAGGTTGTCCGACCAAAGCCGAGAGAGCGGTAGCGCGGTAGCGACCCTCTTCCACCCAGTCTCCAGGCCAGGCCAGGCCGGGCTATCTCCCGGTGATCGCTGGCCAGGCCCTGGCCCAGCCCTGGCCCAGCCCTGGCCCAGCCCTGGCCCTTGCCCCGCCCTCAATTACGAAATTCGTCTTATTCCTTCCAGCGGCTGCCTTGCTTTTCTCATTTCGAGCCCGGCACTGTTCCAAACGGGGAGACCGGTGCATTCCAGCCGCTCGGGCCGTCGCGGCCCCGCCGGCCGGAGGCGGAACTACTCGTTTCCAAAAGTAGCTTCGACAATCACGGTCGCTTTGCCTCCTGCCTGTTTTTTCAAACCGTTTCCACTGCTTTATTCAGTGCCGGTGTCAGTGCCTGTTTCCACGGAAACTTTCCAGGAGTGGCCGGGCTGTGCTCGAAGGGCAATGCCGGCATTGTAGTGCCGGGAGTGTAGCCGTCGACGGCCTGCCCTGAGTGCTTTGCCATACGCAATTGTCAATAATGGGAGTGCCGGGCACTCGCCAAGGCAGCGTGTCCCGAGCAGCTGGCTCGGCCGGACAGATTTTGACAGCAACGGATTAATAAACCAAATGAACCAGAGGGAATAAGAGATTGGGCGATTTTCCTCGTGGGACGACGTGTTCCGCACACACTACGAGCTTCGCCTTGCCGCGCTTTGCAGTGTGTGTGGAGGGGGCACAATGTCATACATTGTCGCACTGGCATTGTTGCCCTGAGTTATCACGGGGCAACAATAGGGCTGCTGATGGAGTGCCGGACGGAAGGGCACGCGCACCGCCACGCCTGGCAAAATGCTCGCCTCCTCTGGGCCTGGGCCCTCTGGGGCGGCACTGGCCTGGGCTGGGCTCGGCTCGGTGGGCCTAATCCACGAGTGGTCAGGAGACGGCACCGGCACGGCAGCGCGCGGTACAGACTGCGAGGCATGATTGTGTCATTTCGGCGGCGCTGCGTTGACGCTGCCTTGAGCCGACGAACCTTTGTCGCTGTCGGCCGCCGCTTTTAATCAGCGCGTCTTCTCAGTGGGACCGCCAACAGCCACACAGTGTTCCCCAAATGACGACCACTTTTCGGTCACTGGTCTTCATCGAACCCTTAAAATGGTTCACAAAAATGTGTGGCACGACTCACTTTCTCAGGAATGATGACGTCATCAGACGACCGATTTGGGTCGTGTCCAATGCAGTGGTGGATTGAAGGACACATCAAGTGAATTATGCAGTGTAGCCTTGTTTGCTGGATAATAGACAAGGTGCCAGTCCGAGATCCTCCCGTTCCCCGGAAGGCGATTCGACGGGCGTGAGCCGTGCCGGGGACAGACTGAATAGTTAAGGCGTGCCCACTTTTGCCTGACGACGCAAACTTCCGAAACAAACCCAACAAAAAGTACTTTGTTGCCTGGCAGAAACAGCGACCAACAAGTTGGGGGCCCGGGCCGCCATCGCCAGTGGAAAGCGACATCGGCGTTTGCCAGGCGTTGCCCCAGTTGCAGCCTCACTTACCCCGTTTCACGCCGTTTCCGTGCCGATCGAGTTTTGAAGGGGCGATGAGGATGACGGTGAGGGTCGGGCCTGGTCGCGGGGGCAGCGCGGCGGCAGCGCGGCACCAGGACCCACGCAAGAAGACCGATGCCGTAAAAAGCAAAGGCACCACGGCCCCTTTCGCCTCGATGGCCCTCCGCCCAGGACATGCTCTTGCGCTGCCCTGCGTCTTTTGTTTGCCAGTTATGCATGCATGGCGGCTATGAAGGAGGGCCTCGGGGGTCGTGCCTAAACCCGGAGCCTCATCCACTACCGTTTGAAAACACACTTTTTTCGCCGTAGTCAGCTTCCCGCGCTAGGACGCCCCCACAGAGAGCTTTTTTCCCCTCTCCCCGTCCCGTGTGGTTGACACACCGTATCAGGTTTGCCCTTGGTTCGCACACCAGGGTGGGGCATAATTTACTCTGCTGCAGTTAGGCCGGCGCAGCTGTAATAGCCGGGGGACGGTCCTGTCGTGTTGTTTCAGAGACGGAAAAACAAGCAGCGCGGTCCATATGGTAATTAGAACAGGTACTCCAAACCGAGAGGTCAAACAACAAACAACGAGGAGGTAGTGTCCAAATCTGTGCAGAAATGTTTGTTTGCCATTAACACAGCAAAAATAAATCTCCGGAACTTGCGAAAGTATCTTTGGAGAATATGTATGGTGTTAAAAGCCCCAGTTCATTTCTTACGAGTAGAGCGAAAAGAGCCTCGTGTCCAGTTAAGACACTAGATTATTGAAGAGAGATATTCAGAACCCTAGTTTAGCCGAGCGCAGTGCCCTGTCTCAATCCACCAGTCACCGCGAGGCGTCGCGTTCGCCTCTGACAATTTTTTTTCGTAGAAAACCGTGCGTCACAACCAAAAAGGGGAAATTGCATGAAAGGAAAGTAAAAAGCCATCGAGCGTAGGGTTGAACGAGCTTACCAAATTCAATTTGAGGCTGCTCCGTGACGTACCAGCGGGGGAAAGCAAGACGGGAATCCTGGAGGGGCACCCTGAGACAGCTCGCGAGGGGGGGGGGGGGGGGAGGCGTCTTCTGCCACCAGCCCGCGCCCCCAGCCCAGCGGTGTCCATGTTGGACTTGTCGGTGCACAATTCAGTGCGCCTGCCGAGGCCCTTCTGGGAGGCTTGAAGCTCCTAAACACAGAGAAAGGTTTATTGAACCCAGATAACTTGAAACAATGGAATCTGCTTGTTCCGATTCAAATATAATTTTTTGACTGAAGGGGGTGGGGAAGAGATGATCGAAGAGCAGCTGGAATTAAATGACCTCGAAATGATCCGCATTGAACCACGACACTGCAGCCCGGCCCGAGCCTTTTCCCCTTGTTAGTCCGCCACTGTGGCCTGGGAGTATTTACTCGGAAGCGAGTCCATCAGCTATGCCTGTTTGGATGCGGAGATCGGGTTGAATGAAAAACAAGCCGCCTGGATGAGTGCGTTCGAGCGTGTGTCTGCATGTTTGCCCCTGTGGGCCTTGCCGCATGGGGCCCGGGCGGCGTGGACAGACTGGACTGCCCGCCTGGATTTGCGTTTGACGCTGCTCGCGCCGCCAGTCAAAGTTGGCCCGTAGTCGTGCGTGCTGTTTGAGGACTAGGGCGGCATGCACCAGAGCGGAGAGCAAACCATCACCGGACCGTGTTTGCCAGTCGGGCCGCCTCGGCCAGCCGCGCCCAGCCTCGCTCGGACCGGCGCCATTGTGGCCGTGGCCGGCCGCCATGGCCATCGGCCAAAAGAACGAGGCTCTGGTGAGCAGTCCGCGGCGCTGAGGAACACTAGTAGGGAAAGGACAGAAAATGTCTGCTCGACGATTCGTATTTTACCGACCACGGAAGTTTGGCGCTATCATGACCTGTTTATATACTGACGCTGACGACGGAGAACCTTTCTGGAAGATCCGGCAGATCTTTGCTTCTGTTCAATTTCTGCCCCGGAATGCGGGATTTTAACAGTGGGAGGGAGGACGGGGACGACTTCTGCTGCCACCAGGCAAACGTCTCGCGTTCCGATTCGATCAGCGCGGTTCATTTGGGAGCACCCTGTCCGGACCACTGCTGTCCTGCACACTGTGCCGGTGGCGAGGCTGGGCTGGGCTGAGTCCCCACAGCGGCAGGGCTGCCTCTCCGGGTGAAGCCACCCGGAAAGTCGGTGGATGGGGACGGCACTGGCAGCACCTCTCCGTCCGCAGAGACCGCTTCTCCTTCCACTCAAACGAGGCCTGCTGCCTCTCGGATACCTCACCTTGTCCTGTCAGAAAGACGGACTCGTTGGAGTCGCTGGGGGCGCGGTCCACAGCGGCCGGCAGCCTCGGCAGCAGCCGGGGGAACAAGGCCAAATCGAGGATAGACTGCTCGCTCTTTTTTCGGCTCCTTTTTGCCGCGTTCTCTCCCGACTGTTTGCTTTCTCTCATGGCATCGTCTTTTTGCCAAGGTTTTCTTTCCCGTGCACTCTGTGTTTTGATAATGTCTGTCGCCACTGAGGCGTCAAGGTCAGATTAACGTGCAAAATGGCCCCTTTTTCATGCGGCGCGCTGGCCACGTTAAGATAACCCTTGAAAGCCGTGATTTTAAGGTCTTTTAAAAACACGTCGCTTCTGTTGTTGCAGGGCAAGCAGCTGAACCACAACATATCAGGCGGTGTGATCATCGCCAACCAGAGCCTGGTGCTGCAGGGGGTGTCACGAGCCTCTGCCGGCAACTACACGTGTGTGGGCTTCAACCAGGAGGGCGAGGGCGTCAGCAACTCGTTCTACCTCAACGTGCTCTGTGAGTATGGCAGTGTCTTCTTTCGAACCGCGCACAATCACTGATCGCCAATTAAAGCCGCAGTCGGATCGGCTTGTCTGGCTGCTTCGCCCGCGGGCCTTTGACGTAGTTTAATCGGTTTAAAAACGAACGAGATACACCCCGCTGGTTTTAATGACGGGCCACGCCCGGCCACGCCCCTCGCATCCCGGTGCCCATTACAAGCGGGATGGACTGGCCGTTGCAGATTATAACACAATATGTATGCGTGCGTGTGCGTGGAGGGGGATACCGTTAACATATTTGTCGGCCTGCAACGAGGGCACGCCGCCCCATGCCCGGCAGTAGGCCTGGCCCTGGCCCGGCCAACACAATATTCGGCATAAATCTCCCTTCAGGCTCATCGCTGGCTTATGGCGGCAAACTAGGGCCTTGTTGAAATAAATAATGACCCGCACACCATGTGTCTCTCTGTTTGGCGACGCTTTAAAACCACGCAATAACTTGTGGCTGTTGACAGTCGCGCCGACCTGCGAGCCGAACCAGACGCGGGTGCACGGCGTGGCCAAGCAGGAGAAGGCCAACATCTCCTGCTCGGTGGACGCCAACCCCGGCGACGTCGAGTTCCGATGGACCTTCAACAACTCGGCCGAGAGCGTGGAGGTGGAGGGGTCGCACATCACGCGGCACGGCACACTGTCCACCGTCAGCTACACGCCCATGACGGAGCTGGACTACGGCACGCTGCTGTGCTACGCCAAGAACCGCATCGGCAGCCAGCGCGTGCCCTGCGTCTACCACATCATCGCCGCAGGTAAGACGAATGCTCCTCCACGGCCAAAAACATCGACGCGCTGAAAACCTCGTCAAGCATCCTAATCGTTGCCAATGCACAGTAAAACAACTGTTTTAGCAGTGCAGGGCATGACTGCAGCGGGATGGCGCTGCGCAGCGACGCATGCCTTATTCATTTGCGTTGATGCACGGCGCTGAATCCTTGGGTTCGATCCCTGCCGGCGGCGCGGCGACTCTCTTAGCTCCAGGCACGCCTGTTTGTCACGCGTAGCGACAATTTAATGGTTCAGGGCGCGTTCATGAATAATACAGAAGTGTAGTTGGCGACCAACGCGCGGCTCGTAGCTCAGCGCCCCGGCAGGCCCCGCCGCCTTGCCGCCCCGCCGCGCCCGGTCAGCAGGCCGCCTCCACCGATAGGACTGGCGCGGCTGAGCGCCACCAACTATTCGACCGCCATTTGTTGGGGAGCGCGGCGGCAGGGCGAGTACCTGCGCCAGGCCCGCGGGACCGCCCCGCCCCGCTCGTCCTTGTTCTCGTCGGCGAGGCCGCGCTGCAGCACAACTCCGGGGCCGCCGGCCCGCGCTGGTCGCACCCCGCCTCTGCCGGCGGGGGTAGTTATGGCCCATGGTTGTAGCGGCCCCGCTGCCATGGTCCGGTGGCCGAGGCCGGGATGTTCGTCCCGTAAGCGCAACCCCCGTCGATAAAATCAATTCCCGAAACTGCCAGCTCATGTTATCAGCAGGGATGAGCCTAGCACGCCCATGTGCAACGCATGTTGATCTTGGTCATGGGCTGGCCCTCGGACTGGGGTCAGGGAATGGGGGTTGGGCAAGACGGAGTACGGCGCCCGCGCGCTTGTCTTGACGGCCACCCCACTGGCGTGCGTGCGCGGTGCGGTCAGCCCTCCCCGCCCCAATATTTGCCCTCTGGACTCGATACGGCCATCGAGGGCGTGAGGCATGCATACAGTGTGTCGCGCCGAGCGCCCCGACGGCGCGTCCCCCCGGCCCAGCTACGACCGGGGCGGAGAGTGCGTCAAGCGGGCCGCAGTCCCGGCCGCCGGACAGTAAAGGAATCCATAAAAGGCGTGCGCGGCCGAGCGGCCTCGTGTCTCGCAGTGTGCCAGCGTGCCCTCTACAAGGTGAAGTCAGCCGTAAGTGTCCAGTGCAACTTGTGGAGTCGCGGCAGCGCGCGGCGGCGCCCGTCGGCCGCTCCCCCGGCCTTTGTCGTAAAACGGCCATGTGGGTCACTCCGGCCGCCGCCCCCCGCCACTCCCCGGGCGGCCGCCAACGACGCGACGCGCTTTAGAGGCCGTTTTAGGGTGTTGCTTTCGCGGCCAGATGGTTATTCACCAATACCGCTTTATGTTGCCTCAGTCATGTGGGAGGGAGAGAAGGTTATGTGTGTTATTATTTTTTTGCCGTCGGAAAAGCTTTGTGGACGTGGACGTGGCCGAGCGCGCGCATGGGTGTGTGTGTGTGCGTGCGTTGCTGCGCGTGTGTTGCTGTGTGAGTGCGTGTGTGCACTGTGGAATTCCTTGCGGCCGAGGCGCGAGTTTGGTGCGGCCGTGTCGTAATTCCCGCAGCCGGCAGATGCTCACTCCGCGGCAGTAAGTCTTGCCAACTTCCATATTCGCCGCGCCCTGGCGGCCCTGGCGGCCCCGGCCAAACTTGACTCCAGTCCGAGACATCCCCGTAACGTTTCTCACGCCTTGAGAAAGCTTTGCAAAGAAGGCGGGGCGGGGCGGGGCGGGGCGGGCGGGTGGGGCGGGCGGGGCGGGGCGGGTGGAGCAGGCAGCCTAGCAGCGGGGCGCTTCGACTCTGCCACCAAGTGAGTGCTGTTCTGCGAAATGGGAAGAGTCGTGAAAGTCAAGTTCTCAGGTTGTAAGTTGGAACGATATGTGACGGCGGAGGGGTGCGCCCCGCTCTCGCCCTGCTCTCGCCCCGCTCGCACTCCGCCACCCTCGCGGCACGCCGTCTCGTCTCACTTCTTCTTGGAGAGGCGGAGCGCGGAGCGAGGCGAGACACGGCCAGCCCTTTACCTTCAATCCATCCTGTCACTTATGCGCACCGCGCCGCACCGCGCCGCGTCCCGGCACGCCGGATTGTCAGAGCGGCAAGCGCCCCCCCCCCCCCCGACTTCCTCCCGTGTTCCATTACGGAGCCCCCCCCCTCCCCTCCCACCAGACGTCTTCCCAACCGTATCCCGTGCCATATCCCCCGCTTCGCGCGTCCGGAGCGCGCGAAATGCCAGAGCCCTGCAGTTTATAGCCACCGCAAAACCAGCCACCCCCGCACCACCCCGCCCCGCCACGCACGGCCAAGTAAATGAGCCTCTGGCGGGGCCCCGCGCGGGGCAGCGCCGCCCGGCCGTGGCCCCGACAGGAAACGAATTTCTTCAGATTAACCTCGCATATTAAACACGCCACGGGCAGGCAGGCCCACGGACACCCGCCATCGCCTCTCCCACCTCCCGCTTTTCCACAACACACTCGCGCGCACGCTCACACCAACGGGCACACACACACACTCACACGCGCGCGCGGTGGGCGCATTACACGCAGAAGGGCTCATGCAGGCGGACCCAAAAGCAGCACCAGGCACTACTAAAGTTCCGCCCTTGGAAATGATGTTACATAAGCAGTGCTCGCTCGCTCCGCTCGGTCGGCGCGCTCTAGAACGACCTCGCGTCTGCGCGGCGTATATTTCACGGTAACGAGTGAGCTGCTTGCACTCTTTTGCATTGACACGACCAGCTGCGCCCCGGCCGCCCCGCCAGCCAGCCAGCCAGCCAGCCAGCCCCGGGTAAATGCGGGCTCGTTCCTGCCGCCTCAGCATCCTCTAATATTTTTGTTGTGCCGCGCGAGGGGGAGGAGACGGGGGGGAGGCCATTAGTGTTACTTTGTGGCGATGTAGTTACCCCGGCAGACGGGCAGGGGAGGGGCCGGGGGTAGGTAAGGTATTATACATGCCACCAAGTCACTATTAAAACGGGAAAACACAATTTATTGCGAGAATGTAGATTAGGCGACGACGCCGGCGACGCGACGTGGTCGACGTACGCACCGCGGTGCCACTACACCCGGCCACGCCCGGCCCCGCCGCCGTGCGTCGCCAGGCGCGTTCCCCGATTTCGCCAAATTGTGGGCAAATTTTGGGCATGGATACCAGCTTGACGATGCACCGAAAATGCTGCTTTTCACAACAGCGCAAAGACGAAGAAAAAGGAAACACGGGGCCAACACAGGGTAGGGAAAGGGGGGACCTGCGAAAAAGGCCACAAGCACCTTGATTGTGGCAACATTTCAGGGGGGAAAAAACTGTTGTCGGACTCTGTTGTCGGACCGCTCCAGGGGGTGTGCTGGCGTGAGTGACAGCTGCACAGCCCTGTTGCTTGCATACAGTACATCGCTCCGGGGCAAAAATGATGAGACACTATCTTATCCCGGCCTAAAGGGTAGCCAGCGTAGCCAGCGTCTTCAGAATATTTATAGCACATGAAACTCTCGGCGACTCTGAGGAAGCGGACGCGCGTGTGCGTGCGCATGTGTGTGTGTGTGTGTGTGTGTGTGTGTGTGTGTGTGTGTGTGTGTGTGTGTGTGTGTGTGTGACTTGCGCGGTGCCGGTTCCGCGTTTTCCTTTCCGATCGCAGATAGAGCTCATATCTCTCCATTTCTCCGGCTGGCTGGCTGCCTGGCTACGCGGGCAGGGCCCGTCGGGTCCCCAGTAGAAACAGAGTCCCTGCCGAAACCTGAAATAATGCCTTGGCCGCCCAGGCTTTCAGCGGCCGGGCCTCGGTCTTGGGGCCGCGGCGCTGACAGGTAGGGGAACCAACCCGCTGGGCCGGCGAAACAGCGGGTTCGGCAATAAATGTGTGCCGGAGGCGCTGGCAAACCCAACACCCATTGTTTAAAATAAATTAGACGGCGGGGGAAAGAGTGGCCCGCGACGGCCCCGGCCGGCCCCGGCGCGCGACCCGATGTCACATGCCCCCTCCAGCGCCAGCCGACACCCAATGTGACGAGTCAAAGCAATGTGTCGCTTTGAGTTGACTCGCGTTGCGCAACGCGACGCCCACGCACACAGACGCGCCGATACAAATGGGAGGGGCCGGTGGAAACGGCGCTAATGCGGCAGGCTTAGCGCCCCGTTCGTCGCTCCTACAGTGGAAACGACTCACCGGCCACGCCTCGCTGAGGAAACCTTACGAACTATTTGGGGCCTTACAAAGAAAAGCAGCTTGTTGTAACGAAGTATCTTGAGCTCACATGCTTACATAGAAAATACTTCGTAATTTACAAACTATTTCTTCGAATAACAAAGTAAATTAGTTTGTAGTGTGCATGCTCAAAATGCTTGGTAAGGTTTTAAGCGCACTGGCAGTGCCCTGGCAGTACCGCGGCAGCGGTCGAGTTGAAGCCGCCGTTTTTCGGGGCACATCTTCGGCGAGGGCATGCGATGTGTCAGCGCCCCCTGATCCACCGTCCGCCCGTTTGGGGCCATCAGGACCCTCGCTGGAGAAATGGACTGCTCCATATGGCCAGAAAGAAAGACACCGGCGTAGAATACTTTTCTTTGCCTCGTTTTTTCCCTTCTCTCAACCGTAACCCTGTTTGCGGGCATGATCAGGGGGATGGTCGCCAGATGCTCTCTGGAGTGAGCGAATGCCCGCGACGCGTGCAAAATATTTTTCCACATTTACAAGAAGTCGAGAATAACAAGTTAAAACAGCGGTTTTACGTAAACAATTTTGTTTAGTCTTTTTTTGTTTTCTTCATTTTATTTTTGTGCGGAAAGGGCGGCGGGCGCTATTAGCGGCCCGGGCCCTTCCCTGGACCCTTCCCTGTCGGTGGCGATATCTCGAGGCCTTTCTCAGTGCAGAGGTAATGGGGGCCAGCAGTTAATCCATCATCGCAAAATGGGCCTTTGCCCGCTTATTTTTTTCATTTTATCACTCCTTTTTGTTTGCTGGCCCAGAGTTTTAACTTGGATGGGTGTTTGTGAACAAAAGGCGAGCGAA